ATTTGGGAGGTTCCAGTTTGGGAGTTGGAGTGCTATTTTGTATCCAGTTCGGGAGTTTGGTGTTCTGCAGTAGCTGTGCCTGTATCTCTGGAAAGGGGGCCGATCGCCTAAACGGTTTTTACCCCTTGTGTGCAAAACGGTCCGTTACATATGGACTCAACAGTCTGTGTGTCTGTGTGTGTGTTTGGACTCAGCAGTCTGTGTGTGTGTTTGGACTCAGCAGTCTGTGTGTGTGTTTGGACTCAGCAGTCTGTGTGTGTTTGGACTCAGCAGTCTGTGTGTCTGTGTGTGTTTGGACTCAGCAGTCTGTGTGTCTATGGTGTCAGCAGTCTGTGTGTGTGTGTGTGTGTGTGTGTGTGTGGACTCAGCAGTCTGTGTGTGTGTGTGTGTGTGTGTGTATGAATCAATCATAACAATAAATAAAAAAGAAACCATAGACTGCTGAGTCCAAACACACACACACAGACTGCTGAGTCCACACACACACACACACACACACAGACTGTTGATTCCACACACACACAGACTGCTGAGTCCATACACACACACACAGACTGCTGGGTCCATATACACACAGACTGCTGAGTCCATACACACACACAGACTGCTGAGTCCATACACATATTGCTGAGTCCATACACACACAGACTGCTGAGTCCTTACACACACACAGACACACAGACTGCTGAGTCCATACACACACTGCTGAGTCCAAACACACACATACAGACCAAATAGTTGAGTCCAAACACACACATACAGATCTCGGCTAGGAGTCCAAACACATACACAGACACACACACAGACTGCTGTGTCCAAACACACAGACACACACACACTGCTGAGTCCAAACACACACACACAGACTGCTGAGTCCAAACACACACATACAGACTGCTGAGTCCAAACACATACACACAAACACACATACAGACTGCTGAGTCTATACACACACATACAGACTGCTGAGTCCATACACACACACAGACACACACAAACACACAGACTACTGAGTTCATACACACAGACTGCTGAGTCCATTCACACACACACACTGATGAGTCCATTCACACACACACACTGATGAGTCCAAACACACACACAGACTGCTGAGTCCACACACACACACAGACTGCTGAGTCCACACACACAGACACACAGACTGCTGAGTCCAAACACACACACAGACTGCTGAGTCCAAACACACACACAGACTGCTGAGTCCAAACACACACAGACTGCTGAGTCCAAACACACACACAAGCTTCCTCAGTAGCTGAGTCCATAGACACACAGACTGCTGAGTCCATACACACACACAAAGACTGCTGAGTCCATACACGCACACAAAGACTGCTGATTCCATACACACACAGACTGCTGGGTCCATACACACACAGACTGCTGGGTCCATACACACAGACTGCTGGGTCCATACACACAGACTGCTGGGTCCATACACACACAGACTGCTGGGTCCATACACACACACACACACACACAGACTGCTGAGTCCATACATACACACTAGAAAACGGATGAGAAGGTGTAATTAATGTTAAACAATAAAATGGGCTACAACATATTACTACAAGCGACCTAAAATGAGTGTAAGCTCAAAAAGTATAGAAAAATATGTGCGCTCCTAAAATACTAAAGAAACACTTAAAGTACAAATATATATTTAATAGATAAAAAATCTACAAATCAATCATAACAATAAATAAAAAAGAAACCATATATAAGAGCATGACTGAATAGATCTGTTGCTGAAAGGTACTTGACAAAATAAAATATCAATGAATGAACAAATCCTGACAAATAATGAAGCCAGAGTAAGCACCTGACAGATACTAAGGCTACAATGTATGGAAACAAAAGCTAACAAAAAAATTACAAATGAAATGAGCATCAAATAAACAAGATAAAAGTACCTTGCCTCAGTGGGGGCCCCCACCGAGGTATAAATCAAGGGAGATAGTAGTGGCCAAAAGACAGGGATCCGTCGAAAGAGGACAAATAGATGTTGCACCGCGGTCGGGATCTTCAAAAAAGACCGCGGTGTAAATGGAAGGCAGATGAAACACAGACCACCAGTGGGACAGAAACTCACCCACAAACTGAATATAGCGTATTACACCGCGGTCGGTGTCTTCAAAAAAGACCGCGGTGTGAGAGACCAACTCCCGACAGATACCGGCAAACACTACAACTCCCCACAGCAACAGAGCAGAATGTCACGTAATCAGCTGTGACTCGTCGACTCGTTTCGTCCCGCCCACGGGACTTTCTCAAGACAAAGTAATTGCCACAGATCAAACATTAAATAGCCCAGGCATGACCTAATTAACATAAATAAAAAATAAAAAATATATTTAGAATAATCTAGCTCTTCATTCAAACCGTTAGGTGTCATAGTATTTAGCTTAAAAATCCACATGGACTCAGACTTTATTAGTTCCCTTTTTCTTACTGCTCCATCCTGGTGTGGGGGAATATGTGTTAACCCCATTAACTTAAGACCTGAGGGATTCTTTTCATGGTACATAGCAAAATGTCGGGCTACTGACGACTTAGTATTATAACGAATTATAGCCGTTCTATGTTCTCGGAACCTGCACTTCAAAGGCCTAGTGGTTTGGCCCACATATTGTCGATCACACGGGCAGATTAGGAGGTACACTACAAATGAAGTGTTACAGGTAATTTCAGATTGCACTGAAAATACCTCAGAGCTATTATAAGGGCTAAAACTTGAAACAAGATGGCAAATATAGCCACAGGTGAGACATTTAGTATGGCCACAGCGTTTGTTAATTAGACCCTCTTTCTTCGCTCTCGTTCTTCTTTCATTGGAGTGTTGTAACTTAGAGGGAGCTAGAATATTTTTCAGGCTGGGAGCTTTCCTGAATGTGATCCTAGGGAATTCTGAAATACAAAAGGATAGCCAGGGATCTTTAGTCAAAATCGGCCAATACTTATAGAAAATCCCAATAATGTCATCAAAAGCTATATTAAATGTAGATGTAAAGATGGGTGTTGTGCCTCTACCCACCTCTCTTGTGCTGATATTATATTTTGCTTTCTTCATCTTGGGGACATGAGTATTATCCAGTAGATCTAGGATCATATGATGCTCATAGGTATTGGGCTCATATTCAGAATACACAGTTGGGAGGGGATTAGTCGTACTAGAAGGACCCATAGAACAGTTCCCAAGTGGAGCATTAACCTTATAATTGTGCCCTTTTAAATACGCATTTAATACCTTATCTGGAGGATAAGATTTCTCAATAAAGCGTTGGCATAACACAAGGGACTCTTTCTCATAGTCAGACATGAACGAACAATTTCGTCTGATTCTAGTAAATTGTCCTAAAGGTATATTTTGTATCCATGTAGGATGATGGCCACTTCTAGCATGTAGATAACCATTCACATCGACACTCTTTTGAAAAGTTTTAGTAGTAATTCTTCCTTTAGTCCCGGTCAAAGTCAGGTCTAAGAAATCAATAGAAGACCTATGTTTCTTATAAGTAAAAGAGAGGCCCCATTGGTTATTATTGATATGTCATGAAGCTTTCTACTTCATTCCAATCACCTCTCCAAATAATAATGATATCATCAATAAACCTCCGATAGAAGGCGAGTCGCTCCATCCAGTAAGGGTTTGCGAAAATCATAATTTGTTCCCAGTGACCCATAAATAAATTAGTATAGGATGGAGCAAAACTCGCCCCCATCGCAGTTCCCTTTGTCTGTACAAAAAACTTCCCATTAAACTCAAAATAATTATGTTTTAACATAAATTCCGTAAATTTAATAATGAATTCTGACTGTTTTACTGGAAGGAGAGGATCTGATTGTAAATATAGGGAGATGGCTTTTAGGCCCAAGGTATGATCAATATTGGAATAGAGGGCTGCCACATCAATTGTTAGCCAGCCATACTGTTCTGACCACTCAATCTCCTTGATTAGGGACAACATATGTCCTGTATCCTTTAGAAAAGAGGGAAGATGTGGAACATATCTCTGTAAATGAAAATCAACCCACTTAGAAATGGGTGAAATCAGTGAGTTTAAACCCGATATTATCGGGCGACCTGGAGGATTAGTGAGAGATTTATGCACCTTTGGGAGGTAATAGAAAATGTGTTGTGAGTCAGAAACTTCTTTCTTTTTTGTCTATGGCCCCAATCAGAAAAGCCGATTCTATGAGGTCTCTCAATTCACCCCTGAATCGTAAGGTAGGATCAAGTCTTAAAACCTCATAATAATCTCTATTTTCCAAAATCCTCTCAGCTTCCTTAAGATAATCAACTCTATCCAACAAGACAATCCCCCCTCCCTTATCCGCTCCTTTTATGATAAGGTTACAATTGGCTTTCAAGCTAGTAATGGCCGCTAATTCTGATTTATCCAAATTATTACACACTCGGTCCCTCTTCGTTTTGAGAGTCTCACAAAGGGCTCTCAAATCCTTCAGAACCAGTTCATAAAACATTTGAATGTAGGGACCTTTATCCACCTGGGGATAAAACATAGAGGGAGGTTTAAATCCAGATGGAATATTAGCCTCTATTATGTTTGGCACATCCTCACACTGCTGTGAGAGGTTCTCTTGTTCATCCAATAAAGAAATTAAATTATAAAAAATTATTTTATCCTGTGGGGTATTAAAAATCTTAGGACAATCTTCTGGACCCTTAGACTCCCTGATGTTAAATGATCTTGAAACCGTTAATTTCTTAACGAAATGATTAAGATCTTTAAATAAATCAATAATGTTGGGTAGTCTATCCGGGGCATATTTAAGTCCTTTACTCAATAGGGAGATCTCCCCCATATTTAGGGTATGATGAGACAAATTGAATAGACCTCTCATTAAAGACATCTCATTTTGGCCGGGCTGTTTCCCCCTTCCTCTCGTTCCTCTATGGGTACCCCCCTTCTCTTTTTGTTGTTCGTATTTTTGAAGAGAAGAAAAGTTCTCTCCTCTCTTGTTTGAGGGGGGACTGACTCTAAAAAAATCATCACAAATACTGTAACTGTTTTTTCCAGGAGCAGTATGTTTAAATTTCGCACCTAGATCACAAGATGAATCAACCCCCCTTTTTTCTTTTTCCTTTTTCCCCTCCCTCTCCCTACTGTTACAGTGGGGGTTATTCCCCAGTGAGGTATAGTTAGAATCAAAAAATTCACCTTTATCACGTGGGGGTGGGGGATGGTTGATTCTTTTATAGCCAGATTTGGCTCTATACGAGGTAGAGGGGGTCAGGTTACCATTTTGGGAGAATTTAACTACATCCGCATAAGAGCTAGACTTATGCCTCTGATTACCTTCAAAGGATGGATGAGGATGTTGTGATTTAGCATATTTTGATGATGGTACAAACGGGCCTTTCTTATATGAAATAGACTTAAAGCCACGTTTCCTTTGCCAACTCCTAATCTGTTCATTTTGATA